AGAGATCCACACGGGGCCGGGGTCAGGAGACAGATCCACGCGGGGCCGGGGTCAGGAGAGAGATCCACGCGGGGCCGGGGTCAGGAGACAGATCCACGCGGGGCCGGGGTCAGGAGACAGATCCACGCGGGGCCGGGGTCAGGAGACAGATCCACACGGGGCCGGGGTCAGGAGAGAGATCCACGCGGGGCCGGGGGTCAGGAAACAGATCCACGCGGGGCGGGGGTCAGGAGGGAGATCCACGCGGGGCCGGAGTCAGGAGAGAGATCCACGCGGGGCCGGGGTCAGGAGACAGATCCACGCGGGGCCGGGGTCAGGAGAGAGATCCACGCGGGGCCGGGGTCAGCGCCGAGAGATCCACGCGGGGCGGGGGTCAGGAGAGAGATCCACGCGGGGCCGGGGTCAGGAGAGAGATCCACGCGGGGCCGGGGGTCAGGAGACAGATCCACGCGGGGCCGGGGTCAGGAGACAGATCCACGCGGGGCCGGGGTCAGGAGAGAGACCCACGCGGGGCCGGGGGTCAGTGCCGAGAGATCCACGCGGGGCCGGGGTCAGGAGAGAGATCCACGCGGGGCCGGGGTCAGGAGAGAGGCCCACGCAGGCCAGGGCAGGGCTGGGGTCAGGAGAGAGGCCCACGCAGGCCAGGGCAGGGCTGGGGTCAGGAGAGAGGCCCACGCAGGCCAGGGCAGGGCTGGGGGTCAGGAGAGGGGCCCACGCAGGCCAGGGCAGGGCTGGGGTTAGGAGAGAGGCCCACGCAGGCCAGGGCAGGGCTGGGGGTCAGGAGAGGGGCCCACGCAGGCCGGGACAGGGCTGGGGGTCAGGAGAGGGGCTCTCCGGCTGAACTGCTCAGGTACCGAGCATGGAGGACACTTGGCTAAGGCCTGGAGACCATGTCTGCAGGACCTCTGGGCCAACACTTTACCTGGCCATGACCAGGTAGCAAGGACACACGCACTCATGCACTTGTACGCAGTGTGTGATTCTGAGTCTGAGTGGTGACCAGGCTTTAGCTCCTTCCTGTCTCTGGGAGGTTCCAGGGAGGGAGCTCTGGGCTCTGGGCTCTCTGGGCTCTGGGTTTTGGGCTCTGTGGGTTCTGTGCTCTGTGGGCTGTGGGCTCTGGGTTCAGACTTTGGGTTCTGTGCTCTGGGCTCCAGGCTCAGGCTCTGGGATTTGGGCTTGGACTCTGGGCTTTGGGCTCTGGGCTTGGGCTCTTGGCTCAGAGCTCAGGCTCTAGACTCTGGGCTCAGGCTCTGGGCTCTGGGCTCAGGCTCTGGGCTCTGGGCTCTGACTCTGGGCTCTGGGCTCTGACTCTGGGCTCTGGGCTCAGGCTCTGGGATCTTGGCTTAGGCCTGGGATCTGGGCTTGGACTCTGGGTTTTGGGCTCCCGGCTCCAGGCTCCGGGCTTAGGCTCTGGGATCTGGGCTTGGGCTCTGGACTGGGGCTGGAGCTCTGGGCATCTGGTTGGGACGGGGGTGTCCCAGTGCTCTATTGGGTAGATGCAGGGGAGGGGCAGGCATGGAGTCCCCTGGGGTTTGTCCTCCACCCCCTGGCTTGGTTTCTCACAGCCTTTGCCATCTCCCCAAGGCACGTGCAGTGCCACGAGCCTGTCCACTTCCCTTCCCTGCCTCCCTCCCCGCAGTCCCGCCCGGCCAGAGGGACAGCAGAGGGCCTTCCGTCACAGCGGCTGGGCCAGACCCGGGTCCCGTGGCAGAGGCTCCTGCAGCCAGAGGTGAGAGCCGTGGGGG